TGTTTCACACCTCGTGGTCAGGGCGTTCAGGTCTTCCATAGAGCTTACTCAGTGTGCACAGCGCCGTGTATCGCCCTTCAGCGAGACACAATATCCAAATACGACGACGTGGTAACAGGCAACAGACTGATTCACTTTAGCGGGGCGCCTGACTTTCCCCATTACGCGTTGTATGCTAGCCCTTTGATTGGTCACTTCGCCTTCCTAAATATTGTATTGTTATGTAATCAATAAAAGGAAGTAAAGCTGAAAAAGAAAAAAGTGGTGCTGCAAGGACGACAACGTCCGGTCAGGATGTATGCAACATACTATATATTTATTCGGCGTTAATGTGCCATTGATATTGTATACTGATTAGATATCAAGAGAATGAATCACGTAGATTATATTATTAACCCATGAATACATAATTTTTCGATCCCAGGGAGTCCTTCTGGTGAGCTTTTAACACTTAAATCCTCACGATGATTTCCAATTCATTTTGTGGATTGATTTCTAATAATTAGCGCAAAACGACAAATTCGAGGGCAGAAACAAAGTTCACCATCAGTCTTGAAGAATTTCCAATGGTACCTTCGTAGAAATATATGACTAGCCACGATTCGGAACAGACCAGAAGGTTTTTGGGGATACTGGTGGTCATTGATGTTGTTGAGTATTTTGATTCGATACCATTCAAACAAACGGGACTTTAACGGTTCAGCAGTAAACTCTGCCGCCACCTTCAAGCAGGATGGTGTCATTCAGCTTGCTACCGATCGGTGCGAAATAACACAAAAACTCAACCGTCCGCCGTTCCAGTCCAATTAAGTCTTTGCAACCATTACCCCTACAGTCTTGTGCGCCGGTTTCGGTTACTGTTTCGTAACTGCTCATTTGGACAAATGACTAAAGAGAAGATTGTAATGTTCAAATCAATGTCATAGTGAAAACAGACTTCATGACGAACTAAAGTGTATAATAAAAATACATGTGTTTGTATGTCGATGTATGATGCATGCATAATCAAGAATACAAATGTAGAAACGAGTAAAAAACGAACAGGTTTATGTAACGAAAACTGTTTTAATGGTCGCTAAATTGGACATCTCAGAGATAAGAAGGTGGCTAGATTGTCGTAAGCGATTGCGCGGAACGATAAGCTATTGTACAACCGTCTGAGCCCAAATGAATGCCAATTTAGATCTTGCCAATCTTTATGATTGTGTTTTAGGAGGCCATAACAAGTGATGTTGGAACTTTATGCTACAGATTACCTTTTCTCACCAGTATTTCTTCTCTCTTTCGTTGCTTTAAATTTGTCGATCCATTCCAAACTCTGCATTTATTGATTTACTTCGTATCTTATTCAAGAGTCAAGTATGGAATAAGAAATTCTCTAAGCATTGAGAACATTTCACATTGGGACCAGTATTTCTCGATTTATTGTCGGCCTTAACCTTCAAGATTTCTGATTTTTGAAACAGATAATTGGTGACTTGAAGACCGCTGAAAGATTTACTTCTTTACCGAGAAAATAAGACCTTGTTGGATGAGAGTTTATGGAGGATTTGATTCAATTTTAAAGAAGGAATTCGTCGTGTATAGATTAAATGAAGCGTAAACTGAAAAGCTAGGAGGCACTGTACGGCTGCGTCGACCTGGTTGGGTCTCGTCAGCAGTGGAAATACACCGACCAAACTGGGGATCAAACCTAGAACCTCACAGGCAGAACGTAAGCATGCTACCCACGGGTCAACGGGAAAGTGATCAGACCGTTTTTCATTTTCCATTTACACGAGATAGCATAACCCATCTTTGCGAGCTTGTTGTGGGGATTGCGCCTCGCACATCTCAGAACTAGCTTCCGGGGTAATGACTCAGTGGAAATGTTCTACAACCTGACTATGCGTTCAAATAAGATCTTGTGTATGGGGTTCAATATACGATGAGGTTTTATAAAAAGAAGTCAGATAATTTGGAAACATGATAAAAGCTTTATCTTAGTTTCCAATGACTTAATTTTGCCTATTTACAATCCGTTTCTGTCGTCACCATACACGTTTGAGTGCACGTGGACAAGTTATGGGATGATCGGAATTATTTTACGGTTGTAATTTATACATCAGTGAGTGTGATAATCCGGGGGATGTTTGTATATCACAGTTCTTTCAGGCTGAAACAAGCCCAAAACAGCCATTCTGTGAATGCGTTTTCTGTAGTGCAATGTGCGCCTCAGTATAGTTCTCTTTTCTTCGTACGACAGTTGTTTATGTCTTGGTTTTGTATGCCACAAAGGCCTTCTGTTTTCGGGATATCGATCGACTGCGTCTTCTGTTTCTTGATCACTCATAATGTTGTGACTTGATTGATCTATATGATTTGAGTCCACTGTTTTCTGCAATTCATGAAAAGGTTTTCTTGGGAAATTTTTATCCCATTCCAAAACATTTTTTGCGAAAACTGCTGCTGCATGCATCTCTTTGATGCTGAATGAATCGCTTTCGAAAAGAACATTCTCTCTCCTCTGTTTCATATTCGCTTTTTCTCGAACTTCAAATCTTGACGTAAACTGCGTTTGTAGATGAAGTATGTACTCGAAAAGTGTGTTTGCATCCCAGCATCTATTAACTTTGCTAAAAAGATACATTCCTGCCGTCAAGATGAACGACGTGGCCTCTAGCTCAATAAGATCTGTGACTAATTTACCTCAGCTGGTTTTTAAAAAGGGTGGTATTGATTGATATCTGTTATGAGTTTGTTCGGGGATCAGATGACCCTCGCACAGCACATTTTAGGATGCAACGCCTAACAGAAGGCGGAAGACATAAGTTGTTTAACTTCAGTTTACGCAGCAATTTACTTCAAAATCCAAACGAAAGTTATTCTTTGGTGGACAAAGTTGCCCAAGTCTTTAGAGATGTACGCAGCATCTTATCCTTTCACTCCACAGTGCTGGAAAATTTTATGAATGCTGCTTCAATACAAGATACAAGACGTAACTTTCGATCATCATTGAAGATTATATTTTTCACCATTTGGGGTGCCCTCTACGAAACCTCATTACGTCTGGGTACGTTTGACATGTACTACATGAATGCTCTTATGGTGCTACTAGTCGTGTGTGTGCTGTTATATCTGCATACATACAACGAATATGATCATCTGTGGTATTCCAGAATGGCTTATGTTTTGCTGACTGTTGTGTTTCTGTTCGCCGTATTGAACTGTTCAGAGACCTTGGTGAAATGGAATTCTATCACTCCTTTCGTAAAACTACTAATATGTCTATGTATTTTTTTGCCTGTCCGTCTGGACTTAACTTTATCCCTGGTGACAATGTTCTCCATTTCTTTCCAAAGTATAGCCAGCCATCAACATTCTTTCCTGGTTTGTGACAGACTAAAAAATTCGACAGCGCCTAAACAAGGACATTTCCGTAAAAACCACTTAGATTTTACATTATCCTTATTGGATTGTAAGTTTCTTGAGAGTTTCGCTACTAAACTGGGCCTACAATTACTTATGTGTTGTGTGATGCTCGCTGCTGGAATTCATCTTCAGTTTTGGAATAAAATTCGTCGTCGAGCCTCGTTCATCTACATTGGTCAAAGTGTATACTTACAAAAACAGAACAGAAGAGCCCAACATTTGAACGATCGTTTGATTCGGGCTAGAATGCCTCTGTCTGTCTACCAGGAATTCCTCGGTCGAGATGCTGCAAATTTTCACTACGGAGGTAGATCGTATTACATACGAACAAACGCCCAGTTGACCATATTGGTCGTAGAGTTAACAAATTTTAATCAGATGGAGGAAAAATACACATTACCCAAACTTGTCAGACTGCTCACATTGATCGTGGATCATTTCGATAAACTGGCAGCCGAACACATGTGCGAACGCCTATCCACCCGACCCCATGAATTCATTTACACCAGTGGGATCAGTAAAGTACGCCCTCATCATGCTAGATCTTGTACGGAGCTGGCCATTGATATGCTACGTACAAACAGTTATTTCAATTTGGATCCAGGTTCCTCTTTTATATTCCGAATGGGAGTGCATTCGGGCAAAGGAACCGTAGTCATCTGGGCCAGCGATATGCTACCCTATGACATACTGACGACCGATATTCAGATTTCTCAGAGAATCAAAGATTTTGGATCACCAGGTCAAGTGTTAGTTTCACAAACAACCTATTCTCGAATCAGTGAACATTTTAACAGTAAACTGGTCGGTCAAATTCGTCTGGATCCCTATTTTACTGTACTTTGGCCAACGTATCCAGAGAGCAATTCTAATCCGCGAGTGCTGAGAGTATATCGGATAGAAGAGGATGACGAAGATACACTACAAGTCGGTACTTCACTTAGTAGTGATGTAGACATGGGATTACTCGGTCAAGTTGTGAAATTGACTGAGCATAACCGGTTACACAATCGCCAACAACTGAGCTTGGTGAATCGTGGCGAACCGCACCTATTGTTCCTGGCTCCATGCATGCCACGTCTCAGTGTGTTTAGTTTAGCTCCAAAACGGGAAAGCACCGCACGTCGCTGCTCATCATTTATTCAACAAACACGTTGGAATACAGACCGAGAAGAGGTAATGGATGCGGAGAAACATCACGAAATTGACGCGCAAGTTTTACGTCTTGTTACCGAGTTACGTGCTGATCCGAAGCACCAAATTGGTTTGATGCAATACGTCCCATTGGGTCGCTGGACCAATCTTTTCATTAATCCAGAATTGGAATGGCACTACGAAACTCATGTCCAAGACACAAGTTATCCCATCTATACAGATTCACTTAAACTCGCGCCAGCCGTGGATGCT